AATTTTATATATCATCATCAAAAATGCATTAAATTATATATATATATTCAGAGCGACAATATTTCAATTTTGAATTCTATTTTTTTAAAAAAATTTCTGAATACTTTTTTATTTTTGACGTGATAATTTTGAATAATAGAGTTCTCTTTCATTAGGAGAACATAAAGAGATTTCATAGAATGTAGATGATCACCATAAGATTTAATGATATTGATGTACATGAAACAAAATATCATGGAAATATCATTATACTATTTTTCTGATTCATCTAACTGATAGTTTTATCTATGTATAAAGTTTCTTTTCACTATCTTTTCTCCTGTCTCTTGAACATAATTACTGCTTCCTGAAATTTATTTTTAGTATACATAATAGCTTTTTGATACGAAATTCAATGCATCGAAGTGCATCGTTCAGTTATTGCGGTGCATTAATTTCTAAAAGACTGACTACGTTAGTCTAATGCATAATTCGTATAAATCGAAAACTTTTCTTCAACATTATCCATTTTCTAGATTGGAGACCCGAAATAAAATAAAGCGAACACATGGACAAAAATCTTTCTCTGTATTTCTTTGGTCGACAATGCGTATCAAGCATTTATCGCAGAAACTTTATGTGTTCTTTCTATCTATGTTCATGAGATATTATAGAAACTTCTGAAGTATTTTTCTTATTTTTTTCTTTTTTATGAAATTATATATGATTCAAAAAAATGAAATCAGAAAAATACTTTTTTGCAACAACAATATAAGACTTTCTTTAAATTAGTATTTTAAAAATTTTGAAAAAATATTTAAATAAATAAGATTTTATTTAAAAAAAAATTGTATTTTGTGACACATTTAAAACTGAAAATATTTATAGATACATGATGTTCGTAATATATAATAATTTACTTATAATGATATATTTTTATATATAAATATTTAGAATTTTATGTAATTAAATAATTAATATTAGAAAAAATTGTTTAAAAATTATAATGAAAAAATATGTTTCTAAAATAAAAATTTATTTAAATAAAATTCGCGGTCTAATGCTCGATCGAGTGGCGCATCGATAGTAACTTTTCGATATATATCGAATTGATATATCGAACTCGATAATGATCGAGTATAACAATCAAGACAGTTCATTTTTTTTTTAGTGTAGAGGTAAAAAGTTTCATTTTATATAAAAAGAATTGTAATATAATATAATTAATTACAACAATAATATAATAATAATAATAATAATTGAATTAAGCTCATTTAATATAAATGACCAATCAGAAATAATAAAACAACTATTGATTGATAGACCGATTTTAGGAAATTAGATCAATATATCAAGTATTCTATGGCGCAATATTATATTTTTACATTAAATAACATTTTTTAAATAACACATTATTTACGAAAAAAATTCCTTGTAAATTACATTAATCAAGGTAAAGAAGTAAAGAAGTTTTATTCTTAATAAATAAGTTAATAATTATTAAGTTATTATGAATTTATAAAATGCTAATTTAATAATTATATATTTTTCACTACAATAAATTTTCACTTGCGTGTATTTCGCGAATCAAGACAGAGGATAGAAAGAAGCAGATATGATACAGAGAGAAAGCCAGTAAGTTTGAAAGTTAGCGAAAGGTTGAAAACATTGGTAAAAGGAAAGAGGAGTCTTTTGACAAAACCGAAGGAATTCCTTTTCTTCACTCTTCCTCGTTGATTCTCTTTCAGACCTTATTCTTGATCCTTGAAAGGAGATATCGTCGCTTAGCCTTTTTCTGTCAATGTCCTCCCAGAGATCCTCCCGGGGTTATTTCCGATCTACAAAGGTTTGTCTATGCCGTATAGAGTAAGGACGAAGTATTGTCGAAGGATACAAATGTGGGCAGATGTTACTCGGTGAAAAATTCCTAGCTCGACCGAGTCAGGCAAGTGCAATTTAGTTTTATAGGTGACTCGTCGAACTTGAGGCAGTTGAGTATTTCAAACGTCCGCTTTTCATTTTACCGACTACTAGATGAATACATTTTAACGTGATCATTTTACGAAAACACATCACATTCACTCTTTGCTTTTACATTCTTGATTCTTTATCATTGTCTATTTATTTCATTGTGAGGAAAAATCATTATCATTCGAGAAATATTTTTACGAAGATGTATGAATATTTTAGTCAAAATTGTGAAGAAAGAGGATCAACCGTAAAAGATTTTGTGGATGGAAATGATATAATAAAAATTTTAATGTTAATCACATTGGCATATACACTTCAATTGATATTCTCTTGATAACAAATATTTATTATCCTCTAATTGTTTTTCCATAATATTTTTTCTTAGATCATAAATGGGCTATAATTTAATTTTCTTCGATTCTGGATTTTGAAAGAATAATTGCTAAGAAAGAATAAGAATAAAGAATATAATATTATTATTCCAATTCATTTTTGTCTCTCGAGAAATTTTTTTTATATTTTGACATATAATGTGATTTGCGATTTCACGATAAATATTTTTTTATCTTATTAATTTCTTATTTTCTCAAATTTCTGCCAATTTGCTCACGATTCGTATAAATCAATCAATTAATAATCAAATTAATAAGGATTGTGATATATGTGATTACATGATGTATTAGTTTTTTTTATTTTTAGAAAAATATTTAAATATGAGAAAGATCTATTCAATTTATCGTGACGAAATCTTTTCTGTGATCAGTGATTATCATTCATTTTAGTAAAAATGTTTATCAATTATTTTTATTAAAATTGTACCGATTATCCGATTAATTGTGAATATTTCTAAGATTATTATTCCAGTTTTCAACTATTTCCTTAATAATATCTATCTCAAAATAATATAATATTATTTTAAAAGTTGTTTTTTAATAATATATTTCTAGAATTTTATAAAAGGATTCATTTGAAATAGCATGACAAACATAATATAGAAGAAATACAAAGAATAGGTTTATCATTCAATATATTTTTATGTTATTTAGTTTTGAGTTCATAATTGTCACATTATTCTCGTATTATATTTTTATAATTTTTTTTTCTATATTTTAGTCTTTTCGAATTTTTTATTTTTAAATTAATTTATTCTTATTATATTTTTTACAAATTTGCATAATCAATTATAGAATCTTTATGATAAGATTTTGTAATTGTTTTTTAAATTATAATGTTTGATTAAAAATATTATAATTATTAGAAATATTATATATTATTTATATATTATCTTAATTTTCTTTTTTATATTATCATCTTTGTAAATTTTATTAATTTTTATTTAAATTCTTTTATTACGTTCCAGTTTTTTTAAATTTATTATTATATAATTTTATTAATTATTTTTTATAATCAATTTTTATATTAAATTAATTTTAATAATTTATTAAATTATTATATTATTATTATATATATTATTAAATTATTATATTATATTATATTATATTATATTTTATATTGATAGATATTAGGCTTTTGATTTTATAAAAATTAAAAATTTGAAAATTTTGAGAGTCAATCAGTATAAGTTACATTTTCTGAAAATGATTTACATGAAAATCAAAAATATATATTCAAAAATCTCTTTATTATTTCTTTTTCTTCAAACTTTCAGTTGACAAATAAATTAAATATTATTTTAATAATTTAAGTAAATTCATTTGTTAATTAAATATATAAATAAAGAGATTAATGTATGTAGTCAAATATCAAATTAAAGTTGTTTTCAGAGAAGTAATTTATAGAAATGATTAATTGCTTCCAAGTATGTTATATAAAATATTTTGAATTTAGCGCGATTTAAATAAATAAAGAACCATTCTGTTTCAGCCAATCAGAAAGTTCTTAGGTAAATTTGTAACACATGGCGTCAGTTAGTCAAAAATCATCCTGGCAGAATGGCGGCTTGTCTTTTGTGACTTCGATATATATAGTAAGTAATTCTATTACTATTTTATTATTGAATTTATAAATTATTATGTTAACTTCATTTATTTAATAATCAATTATAATAATAAAATTAATTTTTTGAGATTTTTGTGTTTTTTCCTTTGATCTATTTGATTGTTAGGTTATTGGTACCTTATATTATAAACTTCTGAGTCAAGATTTCAGTTCAATTATTACTTTATTTTAATATAATTTTAATTTTATATCTTTATTTTATAATTTTGATTTTCATTTATCTATATATATTCAGATAATTTCGAAGGAAGTATGTATATATTACAAAGCTTATATTATATTATAGCTTACATAGCTAATAATTTTCCTGCAAAAATATTTCCTGTAAAATATATTTTTTTCACAAAGATATATTTAAAATAAATTTCTGTTGTCTTTTTGTTCGTCTTCATATTCTTGTATAACAAATGTATACAGTAATTAATTCATTAGAATCAAAGAATCAATTTTTTTTTATAAAATTATATTAATTCAAATATATTTTTTTTTCTAAGTATTATTTGTATTATTTCTTTATATATTTCTTTCTTTTTTGTACATGTTATCAAGAATAAATATTTTTTATAATAGGAGCATTCTAAAAAATTGAGTATTTATATTCACTTATGTTCGATTTGATGTCAAATTACCTCTTCCATAGAGCGTATCTTCTTTCTAATTATGATTCGATAATCGAAATTATAGCGCGAGATATCGTTCTATCGAATATGTGAATCTACCGATAATAATTATTTAGATGCCTCATTTTTTAAAAATATTATACAAATTACATTATTTCAGTAATATATTTTCTTCTTTTAAATACGTCTATTTGGACTATTATTATATATTTATCTCTCTCTTATCGTATGCCTGAGGATATAAACATTTGTTAGAACGAGCAAGAAATTGATTCGTGCCCATACACATTCGATTTGTTGTCGAACTACTTATCCCCTCTCTAATTAATTCGATAATCGAAACTGGTATCGAGATGTCAGTCTATTATCGATATTAGTGGTGTTTAGACGTTTCCTTAAATTGTGTGATTTGCGCATTATTTATTTCATAGTGATTCTTTATTTTATAGTGATTTGTTGATAAATTATGGTATATAATTAATATTTCTTTATTATTATAATTAATTCATATATTATTATATAATTTAGAAAGTAAATTATTATTTTTTTCTTTATTTATCTATTTTAAGGTTAGGTTTAGATTTAAATTTAGGTAGCTTATATTTCTAAAAAAAATAAAATTTATTCTTTTCATTCTTTTATCGAAATAAAATTATTAAATATTTAATCCTTAGATTTTCAAGCTTATAATAAATAAAATTTTAACTTTTATTCTATACAGTATTAGAATATTAATCTTTAGTATTAGAATAGTATTAGAATATTAATCTTTATTTTTTTTAAAGTTTAAAAATTAATAGGAATAATTGTTTATTATTTAAAATTTTTCAAATAATAAATACAATATTTTTAAAAAAAAATTACTATTATATTTATTAATTTGATATTTTATTTTCTATTAAAGGTGCTGATCGTGAAGAATTTTTCTGGGATTTAGTGTTGAAAACTATTTGTGACTGTGCATAATGCAATCAGTAGAGTCAGTGTTTGTTTCGTAATAATCTTCGTATTTCTTAAAACACTTAGTTCTAATTATAATAAATTTTTCGCGATATTAGAATCATTGTTTTTTCATCGATTATAATTATAATTTATATAATAATTTTATGCAATAATAATCCTTTTTTTGTATTTTTTTTTAAATATTCATTTTCGATATATTAGAATTATATATGTATTTCTATCAAGAAGATAAAACAATCATCCACATGAAGAGGTAATTATTTTTGTAATATTTTTCTTTAATTTATTTTAATCTTTGTTATAAGACAATCGAAAAAATTAAATTTTTATTATTCCTTCATTGAAATAAAATTATATTAAAATTTCCAATTTTAAGTTTTTAAAGAATTTTAATTTTCATTATTATTAGAGATCATTAAAATTTCAATTCATATATTGTATTATTATATTGTAAATTTAATAAGGTTTCATATTTCAATATTTTCAAATAATCAAGACTCTATTTTAAATTATATTTTACGTTTTATTACAGATTTCTTCCACGTTCTTCTAATATTGCTGAAGATTTCTTCTGAATCAGCTATTAATGGTATTCTTCGCATCTTATGGTGAGTCGCATGTATTTTTGTTCCTCTGGTCACTCAATCATGTCGTAGGATGAAAGGTCCGAATCGACACGAGTGATTGGTTGTATACGTAGAATTTTGTACGAGCACAGTGATCATGAGTATTTATTATACTTGTGAGTAGTAGCATTATTTTTTTATGTTTTATTTATTAGTTCAGGTTAGATCTTCTTGTACATCGCGTTTTAGAATATTATTAAATTCAGAAATTTTCTAATAATGTATAAATATTGTACATATAGTTTCTTGTGAATAAAATTAATATCTAAAATTAGAAAATTCTAAAATTAAAATGTATTCACATGAATGCATATGGATAAATGATAATTTGTTAATATCATAAATGAAATTTCTTATATTTCTTTGAAATATAGAGTTAATAAAGTTTTATTTTATTCGTATCAAATATATAAAATTTTACACAAAATGTACAAGAAGATATTTCGCGACAGGCAGATTTGGAATCAAAGCAATAAGTTTTGAACATTATTTTCATGTTTTCGAAAATATGTTTTGATGAAACGATCGCCTGAAGTTATTTCTATTAATATTTTGCTTAGAGTATTAATATTTTTCTCTTAGTAAATAAATATTTCATTCTTTAATCAATATTTGTCATTATTGATTAAAACTTTAGTATATACTTTAATATATACTTGATTAAATTACTTCATTAAAGAGAGAGATAAAATTTAAAATAAAATAATAAGAAATCAAAGAATTAATTCGTTAGAAAAAAGAATAAATATGCTAATATTTTTTTAGCTCAGGATTTTCAGGTTTAATCCTTTCCATGTCTATTGCCAAGACTTCACTCACGTGCTCAGATGCTACTTGAGTGAGGGAAAGGTGATGGGTATGATGATCATAGTTTAAGTTTACAATAATTTCTCAGCGACTGACGATTTGTTAGTGTATCGTGCGCGATGTATTTTCCATATTGTGTGTGTGTATGTATTAGGCTGTGGAAATGCATCGTATATTTCATATATTTATTCATCCACAATTAATTATATAATTTATAATTACATTTGCTATTAAATACTGTGGATTACAAATAATAATATTATTGATCATACTAAATAATGGTATGAAATTAAATTTAATAATGAAATAAGTCTAATAATTTCTTCAGAAATCAAACATGTTTTTTCAATTACATATATATATATATATATATATATAAAATTATGATACCGCATGCATACTTTTACGCAATGGTCGCTAGCTATCGTCAGTCGATTTCAGGAAAAAGGTACGTAAAGTTAGAGTATGCGAGTAGTGTGCCAAGCTCGGGTGTCGGAGGCGTCCCGGGACGTTTTCCCTAGTGTAGGCTTTTGCGCCCGGGTATTATGCGTGAGAATCGTGGAATGAGTGTGTTGGTGTGCCTGTTTTGCCATTTTTAAAATATAGGGCTAGGTAGGATAGGTAGTATACTTCTGGTGTGCCTGTTAATTATAAGTAGGTAGGGCCGGGCAGGTTGTCACAGTCTCTGGTCGGGTAGGCGCGTTTTCGCGTGACAATCTGTTTCAGGAAATGCAATTTGAAGAATCGATGGTAACAAGCTAACAAGAGTAAAAAAATCTCTCATTTCTGGCATCGATTTTTCAAATTCCGCGATCGTGCTCGTGAATCTTGATCTCGAAACGAACGTTGTGCTCGAGATTTTGTAGGCGTAGATCAGAGGAACGATCAGAAAAACGATACGATCGTTAATCGTTTATGTGCAAAGCTTCTGCGATTTTTTTTTTTTTTTCATTAATTAGGAAATCTCGAGCCTAGATTTAAGTTTCAGCGGGCATTGCGCCCGAAGAAAGAAAAGGCTATAAGCCGAAGAGGCCCGGCAAATTGCCATAGAAGAGGGCAACTACCAATGGCTTCTCATCATTTGGATTTTCTTTCGATCCAAGGATGAGAAGTCATTTTTGTTACTACTTTATCACTGTGCTCGTTTTAGTAATAGTAGTAATAGTAATAATATTTGTATTTTTTGGCCGATGTATATATCGGTCCAATATATCCAGTCATTATGGGCAAATTTTTTTTCATATTTATTAGTATTATGATTGATTAATAACGATTTTTATTAGAGTTACGAAATAATTTTGCGGTTGTTTATTAGTATTATGAAATGTTAAAATGTTATCGTTTAAATTAATATTGTATTAAAATAAGATTCGGTTTTAGTGTTGCGAATTATAAAATATCGCGTTTTTATATCGCGTAATAGTTTGTTATAATTTTTTTCAAGTAATATTAAAATTTTTTGAAATTCATTAAAATTTTTTTAAATTCATTAAAATTTTTTAAAATTTATTAAAATTTTTTAAAATTTATTAAAATTTATATCATTCGTTATTAAATTATTTACTTTCAATTAATTGTAGCTTTTACATAAACGGAAATAATAATTTGTAATGAATTTATTTTAAAAAATTCAATTAGTTTCGCGAATAATTAATGCCCAAATTTCTTCCACTGAGATTGTGGAAGTATGTATGTTCCTGTTCACTTGATGTAGCTAAAAAAAGCTATAAGGATAATGAAAAACAGGTAATTATATTTTATTATTTTATAATTATATTTTATACAATTTTACTAATCCTTCGTTTTTTCATTTACTTCAAAAATTATTATGGAATCAAAATAGAAAACTAATATTTTAATATTCTCTGATTATCTATAATATTCAAATCTTTATTTAGATAGAGTTTATATGTAGGAATCTTTAATTTTTCTTATAAGTAGGTATATAGTACGATAAATCTTCCTATAACATGGGGAATACGTTCTGCATTATACGAATCATTTACATTACACAAATATAATGCAAATGAAAACATATATTTGCAAAATATGCAAAATAAATATTAAAAATTTAAGGATAAAATATTTTTAATTTCTTTTCAAAGTTAATATCAAAATTGAAAATATTTTGTTATCCATTTTACGCGAAATGAAAGAAACAATCTTTTATTGATATTTATTGCCAGAATTATTCATAATTAAATTCCATTCGACGTAGAATATATTTCGTATTGATTTTCATAATTTGTTCACCAATTATAAGCATGCTATTATAGTTTGTTTTTGATATACATCGTGAAAATGTTATATACCATATTACGTCGTCACAATTTTTCTATCATGTTATGCGAATCCATGTTATAGGTAGAAATTATAATACAAATTAGGTTCGGATTAAATTACTTTGATGTTTATTAAAATTAAATAAAATAAAATTATATAGTGTTTCAAAATGCATGCAAATTACGCAAGATTTTTAAAGATTATATTTAAAGAACTAACACGATTGTGTTGGACGATTTTTCAAATTTATAAATTTATATATTATTATATATAATCTTGAAATCTTACTATTTGCGATACAAAGAATGATTTCTTTCGAAACATTTTCCCCATAGGACGAGATATAGTTAACGTTCAGGAATACGTTTCATTACGATCCTTTTCGCTGTTCCGTTTTTATGAACTGTTGTAGCAACCAGTTACGTCCATGATTATAATTCCAAGATCGTTTCTACGTGTATCGTACACGCACGACGAGTAACGAGCGCACAAAATGTTTAACCGGTGCACAAAGGTTGCTCGCATCCGGCAACTTAAGATGTACTCGTATCCAGAAGACGTGCCTTCGTTGATTCCACTTTTCGTTTCTTTCTGCCGTGTTTTGTTTCACCGTCGTCGTCTACCGTAACTCGTGTATTTCTCAACCACGCGCAAATGTCATTTGCGGACGTGCTTTTGCACGGCGCACGTATCGCACGCCTCGTATATTCTCAACCACGATTTCGAAAAACGCGTATCCGTACACACGTAGCCGAACGTGCGTGGCCCTGTGCGTGCGTGTACAGGGTGGAAGCGCGGCCGTGTTCGTACGTACGCAAGGACGACGACCACACGGCGACGTCGACGTCGACTACGCGTCTGTTTCCATGGTTACCATAGACGTGGGACCAGGGCCGTACACCTTCAACCCCACTTCGATGATGATGTGCGGAGGATCGGGAGGGGTTGTCGAGGAAGGGGCCGGCCGCAGGCGAATTAAGAGTTCGAAAAGCTTCTATCTCTCCACCCTCCCCTCTTCCTTCACTCTCTTCTTCCCTCGCTTTCGCCGCTTTCCTTCTTTATTTATTCTACCCTAATCACGAACAGCTCCGAGCAGCTTTCTCGCGTAGCTTGTGCTCTTTTGACAAAAAATTCTGATTACATAATTCCCTCGACGTCAATTTTATTCTAGTCAACGGGATTCTCCCGGGAATCGTATTGAACGGGATGGGGTTTGTGGCCAGGAGGATGGATTCTGCGGTTTCATTTGCTTTCTTAATGATCGATCGACGCGTTATTTATCCGTCGCTTTACAAACCATTGATTTACACAAACGTGTCGAATGTTCGCGTATGCGGCATGCACGTAATTTTTCCTTTTTCTTTTTGCTATCGTATCGCGATGGAAAGCGTGCCTTTGACGCCTCAAGGATCGAATAATTTTTCCCACGTTTTTTCGGATTTATCTCTCGTAGCGTTTTTTTTTTTTTTTTTTTTTTTTTTT